GAGGCTTTTTTTTAATTCTTTGTGTTAAACGATAATCTTGGTGTTAATCATTTGTCTACCTTGTAGTATGCATAGATATGCGAAGATTTAGAGGTGACGGTACAAGGAATAATGCGTGCGAACCTATCTGTCTACTCTTTTGTTTTAAGGCTTGTTTTAATTTAGCTATGTTTTAAGTAGTTACATTTTGATGTAGCTGATAGTGGGAGGGAGCCGCTGTTCGTGGGGATCGATATAACGGGGCGGAGGCTTGCGGGGCGAAGGCCGGGGGCCGGCTTGCGTCGCAACGAGCTTACCGCTATCATTTTTAAATGCGTATCTCACATAATTTTGTAATTGAGGTAAAATAGCTTACAAAATCAACATTTAAAACACGGTTTTTTTATCCATAAAAATATACATTTTGCAAATTATTGATATTTAAAAGTAAAAAATGTTTTTTTAATTAAACTAGCTGACAGAAGTTAAGACAATTAGGTTCTGATCGGCAATTTATTCGCAATTGTGCGTATTCGAATGTTACTTTATTAAATAATTAATTGCAAAGCCATCGTTTGCCAAAGGTCTTTGAACTTGTGTCTCGTAGCACGTTGGTGTACACGTGAGTGAGATGACTCAATCAGCAACGGTAATAGTTACCTTCTATTAAGACGAAAATAAAAATTCAAATAAGCCTTGATATGCAATTTTCAGTTTTTTAAACGGTCTTACTAATGAAATGGTTTACAGTTTAGCTCTATTTTTAGTAGATTAAATAAAATAGAACCATTTGTTATCAATTTGTAGAGCGGGCGCACATCTTTGACTTAAATATCGCACTGTTGTGCGATTGTCGATTGTTTCGCGACTAATTTAACTGTTTAGTTGCACAACTAAAAATCGAATAGTGTGCGCACATCCATAGGAATCAAAGCGCGACTTAACAGTTGTGCGATAGTTTAGTTTAGTTTAGATCTAAGTATAAACATGTAGCTTTTGCCCACGACTTCATTTGCGCGGAATAAATAAAAAATAAGCTGCCTATATGTTATTCTAGGCTATGTACTACATTTGTGCTTTCATCTAGATCCTTTAAGATGTATTGCAGATATGTAGTAAAATCCATCCATACATTCTTTCCATTCAAAATATTAGTAAGAAGAAAGATAGTACCTGGCTCATCGACAATAAGCGTACTCTTTTACCAGACGTGCCAACTAAAGCGCCTGCGATTTCCATAGTTACATTAATCCCCCCTTCCCCCATACCATGGCCAAGTCTCGTGAAATATGCACAGCCGATAAGAGCCCCTTCACACGGCGCGACGTAACATAAAATATGTATGAATCCACTCACTTTCCGGTAAATCTTTGCACAGTCACGTCCAAAAGGATATCGAATCACGAATTTATACACTACGGTAAACTTAAGTTTACATTGTCACAAAACATGTATTGAAACACACATCTATCTCTTTTGTGTATTGCGCAAAGGGATTGATCTTTTGAAAATAATGTCAGTAAGTCACATGATGAGTACTTAAAAAATTAGGTTAGTTTTCCGTTAATTATAAGCTTACTAGCTTTCGCTCGCTACTCCGAAATTAAAAAAAAACACACACAAAAGTGAATAGCCTATGTGTTCTTCCAGACTATCTTCTACATTTATCTAAAACCGTTCAAGCGTTAAGGCTACAAACTCTAAAAAACATCCATCCATCCATCTAAACTCTCACATTTACATTCTTAGTAAGAATTAATAAGATTTAATTTTAGTTGCATCTTTTTATTTAGATTCATTTTACTCTTTATGGGAAGGGGAGTTTCGCAAAGGTGGGGACGCATACGAAGGGGAAATACCTCTCTCTGTCTCCACTCATCTGTCTATTAAGAATCGACAAAATGTTCAAAGTTTATGGACAATGGTCACTTCGCTATTTAAGTCGAATTTAACTATTTACTTAATTGCCTCCTTGTACTACGAGTATATAAAAAACCAAGAATTACATTTCTCTTTGATAAAGACACAAGAATACTTTTTATGTAGACGTTTCGAGTGTGGCAGTTTGCTATAAAATGAGCGTTCCATCGTTAATTTTTGGGTGTCTATTCGTCTGGCATTACAGGGAAGTTCCGAAACGCATTAAGCGTCCGTCCATTGTTTCCCGGGTAATCTGTAATTATGAAAACGTCGATCATAGTCAGAGAGACAACTTATGATGTCCGTACGTTTGATTTATTATTTTGGTGCGTTATAATTCTTCGAGATAGATAGCTGTTGTAATGAGCATTGACGGGGAATTGAGTCTCAATAAATAGCTAGCTTTTTACGTTATGCGTTCTCATAATAAACAAGATAATTAAACTAAAAAAACACTACACTAACTGTAACTAATTCTCTTTTGCCGACTTAAACCCCCCCCCCCACCCGATTGTCGAAAATGTCATAAAACTACAATCAACATTTAAAAGATATTTATTTAACCGAGAGGAACGTCGCAAACATAAAAATAATGACCGACATCCTGAATCGAGTATAATACCTAGGGTTGCAATAGCTATGAACGCTCATAAAGTATATCGCCATTCACCAGTTCCAGGGTTCCCCATTCGCCAGTTCCCAAGCCGGAAGCTGGTGATGATTCACGCGTGCTGGCGCGTGCCTCCATTATTTATGGGGCATTTATTGTCACCCTAGCTAAACGCAATCGACGCCCCGTCGCTAATGTACATTTGTTTTATTAAAATTGTGACAGCTTAGTACAAAATCGTATTTTTACCATTCGAATAAAACAACTGAGTTTTAAACTGTTTTTAGGCGTAAATTGGGTAATTTGCTGTTGACATTTTATTACAAACATAACTAACAACCGCCGATGGGTCCGAAACTAGTCGGTGCCGTCATCGGAGGATAACACGTGACTTCAGTCGTCTTTTTCGCATAACAAACAACGTATCAATTTACTCAACTATTTAAATTTACTAACTACTATGTAGAAATAATAAACAACGATTAATAGCTGTCAAAATCAATTCATTGTCACCCTAAATCTGAGAGAAGCAAGCTCTCATGTACTAATGAAATTATACAAAATTTAATTCGTGTACGTGTTGATTGTCTTGTTTACAATTAATTAACAGATTGGTAGTGACAAGTGACGTCAGATGTCGCGTCTGTCTATAATTACGTTAAATAGAACACGATAAACAGATTTATAGATTTAACATTATACTAGGGATATTATTGCTGGAAAGATCGGAGTACTGGAATGAACAATATCGGTTTAGTTGCAACACTGGACTGTAAAGGACAGGAATTATGTATACTGGGTATTAATATCTATTTAGTTTATGTTTCAGTAAGATGTTATCTTAGAGACTATAAAATCTATATTCTATACTATTATAATAAAGTGTAAACACACACTTCTTTGTTGCCTAAGATGTCAGCAATTACAGCATATTTTTAAATAATTCTTTTTTCAATAAAAAGCCCTACACTTACGTCACGCTTTAGGCTATATATTTTCACATCATTAAACTTAGGGGGTAAATATTTTGGATAAAAACCATAATGTGGGAAAGAGACCATAAGTTGCTGCCAACATCAAGGAAGCAAGGTTGTCTTCATGTCATGTCATTTTGACATTTGTAATTGATAATTTGACAAATGTAAACAATGAAATAAAATTTTCGTAATTCCATGCGGATGAAGTCGCACAGGAACAGCTAGTAAGAGATAAGTTTTACGATTTATTTTTATGTTTTCAAATTAAACGAGAATTTTAGGCTTATAGTTACGTTGCTAATAGACATTTTCCTGTATTTACTTTTTCTTGATATTCAATATTTATAAGATACTTTTCTTTAAGAAAAGATTACAGAATTCTTTTTCCGTTTTAACAGTAGGTAGTTGCCGGCAGAGGGCGGAGGCGAGGGAGAAATAAATTATACAAGACAAAGAGCTCCCGGCTCTACACTTTTGTCCGAAGTCGTTTTATAAACTTTTACGTCTTTACCTTCCGTTGAAAGTTTCACTTCTAACGACTTCTTTGTTTTAATCTTCTTGTTAACAATTTTAATCACTTACTTTCGTTTATTGAGGGAAATTAATTAGTCAAGTTGTAAGTACGAACTTTTCTGAATTCCAAAAATGTTACAAGTAATTTACAATGAGACAGAAATTAGTTTTTTTTTTAATATTAGCTTATCATTGACCAATTAAATGGACAGGTTACAAGGCGTGGCGGCAAAATCCATTCAGCAGTTTAAGCTACAAACTCTAACAGACATCCATCTATACATCTAAACTCTCGCATTTAGAATAATACTAGCTGTTGCCTGCGACTGCGTCCGCGTGGTATTAGGAAACATACGAACTATATTAATAACAAAAAGCTACGTATCCCTCAGGAACCAGACATTTCTCGGGTATGAACCTTATCCCATGTGTACTCCAGACTTTGTTTTATATCTGTGCCAAATTTCAATAAGATATGTTGAACTGTTGCAGAATGATCGAGTAAACATTAATTAACTAAGTAAAAACTAACAGACAGTAACAGAGTAAAAACTAAATTAATTAATCCCACGGGAAGCGTAACTATTCCCGGGATAAAAAGTAGCCTATGTGTTCTTCCAGACTATGCTCTAAACCTGTGCCAAATTTCATGGAGATTCGTTCAGCCGTTTAGGCTACATACTCTTACAAACATCCATCCATCTAATCTTTCGCATTTATTATATTTTAGTATGAAGTATGATGTTATCTACTAATTCTTCTTAAAATACCAAGACCTTAGTTGCTAAATTACCTTTTAGTTTATAAGTTTTTTTTCTAAGACTCTTAACGATGTTGTTCTTTGAAGTGCCAAGATATTAACTAATGGGGTTATTATTAAAGGTGAAATTAATAAAAAAAACAAAGTAAATTGCATGTATTTAATACAAATGTTAAAATACTTTCTTAAAATTGAGATCAACATAAATAACAATGTCTAAATACTTACAGAACTAAATATAAACTAAACAATTATAGGAAATTCAATTGTTGACATAAATATAGTTATAACACGTAGCTTAATTAGCAAGTTAATTTTACTTAATATTTGAACTTAAGTCAGTCGAGGGTGAAGATACAAGGATAGTGTATATGGTTTTTTAGTTAATCAAACAAAATTAAGCTAACAAAATTGTATTTTATAAAAGAAATCCACAATAAAAGTCTAAATCGAACACTTCACATTTGGAGACCTAAAGCATCTCTTACGAATCTATCGCGACGCCAAATATCATATTTTCTTTGTTTAATTCTATATGTAAGACAGAGACAAATACATTTCAAATTTGATTCAACAGTTTATTAAGAATTGGATAATGAGTTATTTCGTCAACTATGTCCCAAAGTGCGTTCCGTTTTAGTCTCCAATAAACTGTTTTCATTCTCATGTTCTTCTTCAACTCGTAATAAAACCTCAAGAACTTGCTTTTTTATTTGATTCTGATATTTAGTTGGCAGTCGCTTCGTACTCTGACAGACGCTGGCAAAGAATAAGTCTAAAGAATCGCTGTCAGCTGTACTAGGCTCCCATAACTCATCCTGTTCGACTTCAGACTGGATGTCCATTTCGTCGATTTTTTTATCTTCTATCGCTGCTCTGTTGTCTCTAATTAAAAAAATATAATTAAGCTCTTATTCGAAGCGACTTAAGCTTTTATTTTTAGATACTCGAATTTCCGCCAGTGGAAAAAGTCGCACGAATCGCTGACAGAATCAAGAATATGTTAAAAGGAATATGAAAACACTTCGATCGAATTTATCGATTGCTTTTTTTATAAAGATTATTCCTTACAGTTATTGAATTGACTAAAATGTTATTTAAAAATATAATAAAATGAATTTCGATAGTAGCAACACTTTTTAAGCAAAATGTTAGATTATTTTATCTATACAAATATTATAAAGATTTGTTTATTGTATGTATTCGATTCACGTAAAAACTACTGAATCGATTTTAAAAATTCTTTCGCTAAAAGAAAGGTAATTTATCTGTGAGTAACATAGGCTATATTTTAATTACACACGGGACATAGCTAGTAACAATTCCTTACTCTCGAATCATCATGTGTGGCAACACAAATGACATTCGGTTTTGAAATCGCCATTTCTTACACGGCAATCCCGCTTTCGTCCGCACGCCTTTTCTTGTCTTCTTGAGCGCCTGCCGCAATGAATCCCGCAAGATCTTCCATTCCCGTTTCAGAATTTCACCTAGAAAATATAAATACTAACAAAATACAATAAATGCTAGATAACTTTTCTATCGTAATATATTATCTATGCTTCTATGCTAATATAATAAAGCGTAAACACAATACTTCGTGGCGTATGATGTCAGCAATTACAGCATGTTTTTGAACAATTCTTTCTTTAATAAAAAGCCTTACACATACGACACGTTTTAGGCTATATTATCACGCTAATACTTAAGGAGTGTATGAATTGAAAAATAATCTGCGAGAAAGGGACAGCAATCTAATAGCAGCAAAGAACGATTATTTGCATTTTTAATTGAAATATTTACCATTTGCAAACAATAGTTTTTACAATACCTTGCGGATGAAACCGCACGGGAACAGCTAGTTTACTTATAATAGGAAATATGCATTGCTTTTAGTATTAGAAACATAAACAGCTGTTCTTAATATAATCTTTGTCGACAGCTGTCACTAGATGGCGGTAGTACTAACCTTCAAACCAAATTAAATCGAGTTTCTGTTCGTATTTTAATAAATTATATTAATATCTATTGCTAATTATGGGTTCGATTACAGATTTTTAATCATATAATTCTTTTTAATCTGTAATTAAAACACAGCAACACTCAATAAAAAATATACCTACTAGTTTAGCTCGGTATGTAATGTGGGTGTTGAGTTAATATTCGCATATTATTATCTCTGCAAACGTCTCTGTAGATGTTTAAATCAGTAATATTTTCAACAAACAAATTGTACTTCAAACTGGTAAAAAAAAGTCTTATTTCCTTTTTTTTTTTCTTTTAATTTCTTTTTTTATCAACTACGCGTCTAAAATACAATTCTTTACCGATATCAGCGCCATCTACATATTAATTAATGGGTAAGTTAATAGTTTAGATATATTTTTAAATATACTTTTTAAATGATTCATCACCTTTTATTTGTAAACAAAAGCGATACAATTCATGTTAAAATGTCATAAAAAAACTAAAGAGGTATGTCGTACACAAATAGCTTACAATTAGCGCCCAGTCGCTTCGATATCTCTGTCCAGCAGCGATCCCTCACGTCGATATCTCGATGGTTCTCGTGTCGTGTGTCGTATAACACTGGATACTTCTTCACCTCGTCGATCAGTCTCTCACGGTACTCTCTCGAGGCAGTCATGACGCGACCTCCCGGTGCGATGCCGCGGCGATACTGCGCGAGCCGAGGCGAGACGAAGCGAGACAAAGCTAGCAAAGCGAAAGAGAAGCGAACAGATTTGAATTGCGATGTTGCCGCTTAGCGTTTTATCGCGCTATGTGGGCGCGGTGGTTTAGTTTGTTAAGCGAATATGGCTTATCATTATTGTATAAAACGAATAAATTCGCTACGTTCCGTTAAATCTATGGTAAATATAAATTTCACTACAATTTGAAAAGCAATGAGTTATTATATGATAATATAATACGTAATACCTTGGCGTTCTGCCTACCTTAATCTGTTGGCAAGCGTGATAATGTACGAACATGGATGTGAGATCAACATTATGATGAACTAGCGGTCGACCGCGGCGTCAGCGCTGAAATAAAAAGTACCCTATAATATTCCGGCGAACATCAGTTACCTTCGTCTCATTCAAATCGATCAAGCCGTTTCGAGTGAAAGCCAAATGTAGATATTCATTTTTAGTTAATTTTGTATTTAAAAGCGCTGGTCACATATTTATACCTCAAAAGTGCAGTAAACTCCACCAACATCGAGTGAAACGTCTAATTAAAATAAAATGGGATTATTCCCAACCGTCACCCCGATCTGTCCCCACGTGGGAACATATAAGGATAAAAAGTTTTATCCGTCCCACCTTTTGCGACGAGGGGACTGTTGGCACTTAATTTATTTCGTAATGGTTCCATCTGTCGCCTTATTGGTGATAGTGAGACTAAAAGGTGGGATGGATAAAACTTTTTGTTCTCACGTGGGGACAAAGCGGGGTGACGGTTGGGAATAATCCATAAATTAATGTAAATATCTATAGAAAGGTGACCCGCTACTGCATGACGTCATCAGCCTGGGTGCGTACGGCGCGATAGGTGACCGTGAACAAAGACATCGCTTGTAGCAAGCTGGATTAAACCCTTTAATAATTGTTTAATAATAAACAGTCGCTTAGTGTAGGCTTAAAATATCACTTAAATACTATTTACACACTATTTAACTAACCTTTGCGACTTCTGATTTAATGACATACTTAATTCGCATTAGACTAATAATTTAGTCGAGTAATGAGTAATTTCACAATTAATATAGTCTCAAACTCTATGTGATTTCTTAAATTACTCGATATTTTATTTTCAGAAACGATTTAGTAATTAAATTACTAGCTTGGTGCGAACTGTCGCATCAAGCTACATACTGTAGTCTTATCAATACGTCAAGCACATCTCTTCCGTATGTCTAAAAAATCTTTGATAGTCGCTGATAACCAAGAGATAGCTGTTACGATTCAAAAATAAAATTAACTGGACGCAAGTTCATCACAATACTTATACACACCGTAAAAACTCAAGGGATGTAATTAAAATCGAAAATCATGGCCTGCGGATAGCAAAACTTTAACCTCAAATCCAACTCTATTATGCGTGAACATACAGACAATATATAAATGTATAAGCAAAAAATATCGTAACAAAAAATTGTATTCGCAAGGTGTGTCCCGCATAAGAAATCAATACAAATGTATCAAAGTAAAAAACGGCTCGAAACTCGCAACTACAAGAGTTTGGTTTCGACGCAAAAAACTCTCTTAGTAACAACCAGAGTTTATTATTATGTGTTATCTCAACGACATAAGGTAGACATTCCTTTAAAGATTTAAGACTTTTTTTCTATAAAAACTTTCGTGTTTATTACTAAGATGTGATTATTTTTACAGTTTACATTTAATTGACATTGTCTAAATATAAAAAAAAAACTAACTGTTCGCGACTTCGCTTCGTGAAATAAAAAAAAATTACCTTTCCAACGGTGAAAGAATTTTTAAAATCGGCGAAGTTTTTGAGTTATTTCAATCCATACAAAAATACAAATCTTTCCTCTTTATTAGTATAGTGTATGATAGGCTTAGTAATAATATTTAACTAAGATCGATGTAATGATGAGGCACAAATACACACATATTTAGCATATTCGTGTTTATACTGAACCAGTCAACTGATTACACTACCCGCCATTACATTTGCAAATGGCTACCCAACAAGGTAACCATAGTATTCTTTGTCACTGGATATTATCTGCAAATATTATATTGCTAGGAATTTTAAACTTTTTCTCATCACCTTTAATTTGTGTGAAACTGAATGATGTAGCATGTAGAAAAATAAATAAAAGACATGCTTAATAACCTATTTAAAAAACCAGTTAAATTAAAACTAAAGCATAAATTACCTACATAAAGTTATATGTGAAAAAAATACCGAAACGTGGTAACCCTTCTCCTTGAGGCGATTGAAGGACGCTTTGACCTTGAAATGCAATGCTAGGCCTCACTCGCTCTAACACAATTTGTTAGACCGAGATAGACTATGTTATGCATTGATTGTATAACATTCACCATTTCTTTCGCACGTATTACGCAGAGAATGTTGCGTCTCGCTCTCGTCGGTCACCGCTAGACACAGCGACGCCGGACGCCGGTTGTGTGCAGCCGCCATGACGCATCTCGATATCGATACTTCGCAGTAATCCGACTCTTACAATTTTAAAAAACTAATATACTTTTCAATTACTTTATAGGGTCGATTAATGGATTGTTTCTAAAAAAAATCAGCTAAACCAACGCTACTACGCACCTTCAGTTGTAACTGAACAGTCGAATTATAGTTTCCAACCGGTTAAAGTTTCGCGACAGTCTGTATAGAGGTGAAGTTTTTTATTATTCGCTTTGGATAGTGCAAGTCACAAAACCGACACAGCTGAGTTACTCAGGCCATTTTTTTGTTACGAGTATGACTCATTGATCTACAGTTATGGACAATTGAGCGGTAGTTTTCCGTTGCAAAGTAGTAATTTGTATCATATTGCTTCTACTTCCTTGCACGCAACATTTCTCTGAAACGAATTATACATATTCACTATATTATGCAAAGGAAAACAATTAAGTGCAATAGCCGTTCTAGAGGCAACTTGTATGATGATTAGGGTGATAGAATACATATCAGTAAATTTTTATATTAAAATAATTATAAGGAGAATTCATTTGGATTTGAGATTGCCTTTGGAGCGTCATTATAAAGTCCATGTTCATTTTAGTAAAAGAGTAAAATAGATTTTAGATTTATTGCATTACTGTAACAAGTACGATGATCGCAGCGAAGGACTTGCCGAGCGAGGTAAGCAGTGCGGCGAGCGGCGCGCCAGCGTTGCAGTAAGGTTTGTTACACACACACACGTGGTAACGGACCCATAGCGAGATGGCGCGGCTGTATGGCGTCAACGCAGCTTCGGGACTGTGAATACACACATCGTCGTGACCGCGCGCGACTATTTCTAAGCGCATAAGCCTATGCGCCGCGAAACTCCTTGTGTAGGCGCGCCACGGCAGGAAGGCGCCGCGACAACCGCGCGCCGTGTACAGCGGGCCTACATCCAAGAACCGCTTGAAGCAACCCTTCATGTACGGACCGAACATACATGTTTTTAATCCATGATCGTATACGTATTCAATAGTGGACGGGTACCATCGGACCAGTTTTATTTGTCTATCGTAAAAACGATAGTAATCGTAGTAATGACAACGTGCACGAAAGAATCGGCCAATATCACGCATGCGGGTGTCCTCCGCATCCCAGATAGTATAGCAAAGCGAGTTACTCGGAATCAAGGTGTCGTTGAGGCCGCACCAGTAGCAGGATATAATGTGCGGGTATACAGTGTACCAGTATGCAGTGAATGTAAGATCCCCCCAGCGGAAACCGAGTTGCCAGGGTCCTTGGCGGCGTGCGTTATACAAGCTCCTTGTCGCATGTTGAACGGTAGGCCAGCGTGTTCTATATGTGACTGACTTCCCTCTTCCAAATGAACTATTGCGATACGCTGCCCTTGGAGTTGGTGAAGGGAGTGTTGTAACGTCGAAATTCATCATGACCGGCGGACCATTAGGTCGTTCTAATATTTCTCCTCTATATAACATAGGCAAGGCAGATGAGTTAAATTGGAAGCTACCATCTTTTCTGTTACCTTTAAATACTTTTTTCAGTAATGGTATTTCGTTCATGAGTTCCTCGTACGTTTGATCATCCAAGTTTTTTATTATTTGCAAATCCGATCCGGACCCGTGTCCATGGTCCAGGTTATGGTGATGTTGATGAGATTTATGTTTTGAACACACATTCTCCAAAATAATTAGCAAAAACAGTAAACAATGAGTAAACAAAATATCTCTTGACATGCTTCAACCAAACTTGTCATAAAGACGACAGCAAACGACTTTGACATTCAGAAGATTTTAGAAGAAGAAATATAGTCAACACTGACCTCTATAAATGTCTATGACAAGTATAGTCAAATAAGAACGTCTGGGTCCGGCGAGTGGCGGCGTTGCTATCGCGGTGAGTTTGGTCAGAAAATTAGAAAAATCCACTCAGAAATAGAAAATGGCATAAAATAAAAAAGACAAGTATAAACATATCCCTAATTTATTAAATAATATAGTATTATGAGTATTCAAACTTACTTTATAAATCTTCTTAAATAACATTAAAAATAATATATTTTAAGTATTTTTAGTTTTACAAGCAACATATTTTAAGAGCAAGAGATAAACACATGCCATTGACTGGTACACTTGCAAGAATTCGTGTCAGCACGTGTCAGCTGTATGCATGTATTAGCTCCAACAGGCATGTCTATAACTCGCAAACAAGTAGCAAGCTCGATGTATTTAAATTTGTGGCAGCGACTGGCGTGCTGGTACGAAGATTGGCATTGTTACCATATCAGTAACACCTTTCTACTCTTATACTCGTAGTCATCAGCTAACAACTTCTTAATAAAATATAAATATGTACATTCTAGACCAAAACAATAAGAACATGGTGAGATATAAAAGGGATATATGGTGGCGCGGACCCAGGTTGCAGTAGGGCCTTGAGCAGACGCAGACGTGGTAGCGAACAAAGAGGGAAATGTCGCGACTAAAGGGCGTCAGCGAGGCCTCGGGGCTGGTCACACACCGGTCGGCGAACCCCGTCGTCAAGATCTCCAGCTTGGCGAGGCGATGAGACGCGAAGCTACGGGTGTATGATCTCCATGGGTGATATAGACCGCGGCAGCCGCGTGCCGTGTACATCGTGCCCACGTCCACGAAGCGTTTGAAGCAGCCCTTCTTAAACGGACCGATCACCATCAACTTCAACCCAGGGTCGTTTGCAAATTCAAAAAAATGCGGATACGTACGGTTAATCCGATGCTGGGTGCTGTGACGGGTGTCATTGAAGTGACAGTGCGCTCGAAAGAATCTCGAAATCCCGTGGAGCCGGTATTTAGGTGACTGAAAGGCCTCGTAGCAGACCGTGGTGTTGGGCAGTAGGGTGTCGTTCAGGCCACACCAGTAGCATGAGAACACGTGCGGAAACTTGTCGATGGCGCGCAGCTCAAACTCAGCGAGTTGCTGCTGCTCCTCCTCCTGCGAATGTCTTCCCCTAATTCTGTGATTAATCCTGGGCCAATGGGTTCTCTGTGTAGCTGGTCTTGTTCTCGTATGTGACAAGGAGTGTTCGGCTGTAATAGGAAGTGTTGCAGTTGACATCGTCATGTCGTGGCTGGCGGACGTTGGCGCCGCAAGGTACCGCGCGCCCACGCTGTCGGCCTGCGTGTGCGGGGCCGCGTCCCAATCATCTCTCCTGCTATCTTTGAACACTTGTCTCAATATGGGGATTTCTTGCATGAGGTCCTCGTATGTTTTGTCGTCGAGGTTCCTGATCACCTCAAGGTCGGTGTCGGGGATGTACTCGTGTCGGTTGCGGATGCGAGATAGAAGCGAGCTCGATGCATTACTTATCAACAAATAAATACAGATTACTTTTACAATTTCAACACACATATTATTTTGTTGTCAATTTCTGTGTCAATTGTGACGTTTGAATATCAGTAAATGTTCCACGTTTTTAAATAACTTTTAGTGAAAAATAAGAAATACTTTTAGATATCTATAAAACGTTCTCCAATTGTCTAAAAATCTACCTATTTTGAGAAAGAGTTAAAAGAATATTAAATAATCTAATCGTAATAAAAAACAAAAAACATATTATAGCTGTCTTAGCTTCTGATAGATGAAATAGTAACAACTGTTGGATGGGTTTTAAGTAAGAACCTTAAAACCTTTACTTTTTTATTTAAATTTAGTAAAAAGTCAAAGGGTTCAGTTCAGATCAAAATGTTAATTAGAATTGTCGACTCATTAAGAACAATAAAGGATAAAGACAAACAATAAAGGAGTTCTTACACATTTATTATATTATTGTCATAAATACTAGCAGAGCAACGGCTGCGGTCATAAGAGACTCTGCGAGGAGCGTGGCGAGCGGCGCTGCGGCGTTGCAGTAAGGCTTTAGACACACACACACGTGATAGCGGACCCAAAGCGAGATGGCGCGGCTGTAGGGCGTCAGCGAGGCTTCCGGGCTGTGCACACACACGTCTTCGTGGCCGCGTGCAATTATTTCCATGCGCATTAGTCTGTGCGACGCTGCGCTCCTGGTGTAGGAGCGCCATGGTAGAAAGGCGCCGCGACAACCGCGCGCCGTGTACAGTGGGCCTACATCCACGAACCGCTTGAAGCAACCCTTCATGTACGGACCGAACATACATGTTTTTAAACCATGATCATAAACGTATTCGACCGTGGATGGATACCATCGGACCATTTTTATTTGTCTGTCGTAGTATCGATAGTAATCGTAGTAATGACAACGCGCGCGAAAGAAGCGACCGAGGTCACGAATGCGAGTATCATCCGAGTCCCATATGCTGTAGCAGATCGACTTGAGTGGAGAAAATGTGTCGTTGAGGCCGCACCAATAGCATGAGGTGATGTGTGGGTACACAGTGAACCAGTATGCCGTAAACGTTATGTCTCCATAGCGGAAGCCAAGCCCGAACGGAAGTAGTTGGCGGCGCCCATCTGACAAGTCCCTCGTTCCATATTTGACGGTGGGCCAGCGAGTTCTAATAGTCACTGGCGATTTGCTGGACAACGTACTGTTCCGAAAGGTGGCGGAGTTGTTAGACCTAACATTACCCGTACCGGCATCGAAGTTCACCATAATCGGCGCCGCGTGAGGTCGCTCCAATATTTCTCCCCTATATAACATAGGCAAGGCGGTTGAATTAAATTTGAAGCTTTCGTCTTTTCTGTTTCCTTCAAACACTCTCTTGAGCATCGGTATTTCGTTCATCAGTTCGTCGTAAGTTTTGTCGTCCAAGTTTTTTATTAACTCCAGATCGGATCTTGGCCCGTATTCGTGAGTGTTACGATGAGATAGTTTATTAGAAGATACATATTCGAATAACATTATCAAAAACAGCAAATACTTCGAAAATAAAATACCTTCAGACATGATGAACAAAGAGCATATAAGAGTCGGGACTTAGAATAAAGAATGAGTTCTGTCACACACCTGTCAATGTCAAACTCAGTTTTCGTAGCAAATAGTTGCCAGGATAATGTTTTATTTAAATGTTTTATACACGAGAAATAAAACAACGACACACCATCAACAACAATGAAGGGCTCCTATTATCAACGTCTCGATATCGATATCGACAAAATGTGGGTTCGTTGGGTGGCATTTCGTAATACAATCTCAGATTTAAATAACTTTAAATTTAAGCTAAAGGGAAAATAACTTATAATCTTTTATTTTATTTACTTATATTGTACCTAAATGTAGGAAAGAGTTATAGCATAAAAAGTTAACTTGTTAATATAGTATATTTTAATAAAACACAATAATCATCGTAACTTAGTCATAATACGCACTTATTGATAGAATATGTTTTTCCACAGCCGTTTTTTAAGTAGTTTTATACTCGGAGAACCTTAAATCATTGCATCACTTCAAATAAGGAAGTATAGCTAATCTTCTTTTAATATGAACTGTAAAAATGTTTTAGTGACATTAATACACTTACTAATAAAATTCCACGATTTCCGTACAACGATGGTGCCAATTATTTATTTTTATTAGCACTACTGAGGAATCTATATCGTACACTTTCAGTGTGAGCTTTATCGATAGGTTTTATTTTGTTCACTAAGTACATCACTACTAAAAAATAAAATTAAATATGCTTCTTTTGGCAGTCGCCGATTTTACGAAATAACAAATGACATTTAATGTCATTTCATTTCGCGTCATTACTTTAGGCATTTTGTGTGGCTTTTAAATGTTATTCCATAAAATAGAGCGATGCAAGTGTTTAAAAGTAGTGCAAGAGAGTTATTTATTTTCAGTGGGAAATATTTTTATCGAAGAAGTAGGGGAGTTCAGTAATTACATTTGAAAATGTGAATCATCTTGTGTCTGTTGTCACGAAAATGTGATACCATTAGTTAACTCAAGAAATTCCCTATTTTCAAGGGGACGCATTTATAATATGATTAGTTTTGTAATTTCAAAAAATTGTTAAACAATAATTGACTTATAAATATTTTTCTGATAGTTGTTTTATTACCTATTTATTTCAAATTGCAGTGGCCAAACCTTTAGTTGTAATGTGTTTTGTGCAACTGAAAGTATTTCCTTCATGACAAAATAAACACGGATTTTGATTTTGAACATACTTATTTACTCACGGATTAAGGAAATCACTGTGTGTACTCAGAAATATAACAAGAAACTGTCTGTCTGATGATTTTATACCGCATCGTTTCGTTCAAACTACAGGGCATACCACATAATTTATACTGGGCGTTAATTGTAAACAACAATCATTAAAATTTCTATTATTCTGTAGATGAGCGCTAATTAAGACAATTTCTATTATGTTAAGACTATTCCTTCCCTAATTGTCTCAAGAGAGTGCATTGCTAAAAGTTTGCTACAAAGATTGTTCAACTATTGAGTCTTCTAACCGACAAACGTAGTCTGGGACATTTCATAGTTACATTGTAAGGTACAAGTACTTCCTTTACAATTTGCTTTTTCGTTTTCAAAAGGAGAGAACTTCCCTTTATTGTGGACATATTACTTGGCTGTTAACCCTAAATGCTCAGAGGCGCCATCCTGTCAATGTTAAAAAGATGCCACAATAACCTTGCGGCACTATAAAGACCTTGAAACTTGTAACTTTTAAAAAGTTAAAATGGGTTTAATTCAGATCAATATGTTCATTAGAAATGTGAACTCATTAAGAACAAAAATGGACAAAGACAGATAGTTCTTACACATTTATTATATTATTGTCATAAATACTAGTATAACAACAGCTGCGGTCACAAGAGACGTTGCGAGGAGCGTGGCGAGCGGCG